GCAAGTTAGAATTAAACAACTTCAGCTCAGAAGTAGGTACCTTCCAAACTGGTCCTGTATCTGTATTGAAATCACTGGCAAAGTTCCTTTTGGCTCTTTGACCAAAGCAAATGTTTCTCCCATATGTGACTTAAGTTGAAACCAGTAAATGCCACCAATTTGGGTGTCATCCTCCTGTGAAGTCCTATAATGTGAAAAGTGGTGCCTAAAGGGATGTCTGTACGACTGACTGGTATTCCAGTTCTGCCTTTCCTGGAAACATGGTATGAAGAGGATACTTCCAGGTATGATATTAAACATGTGACAGCCCACAGTGGGTGCATGTAATGTCCATGAAGACTGAATAGGAGTTGAGACATCCCATAGGCAGTGGTTCTCAATCTTTTTGAGACTTCAGCTGTTAGTTTTCACTCATTTCTTGAGTATGAAAAATTAATACAATTTGCCCGTTGCAAGTAATGCAGAAAGATCACAACAGGCCAGATATTTTTAACACTATGGGTCCTTATTTGAAGTAATTGGGTTTAGCTTGTGAATTGTGTTGTACATCTAACAGCTCTAACATTGTGTGGCATCCTGTGGCACACCTGAAAGGATCTGAAGGCACCTCAGGGTGCCATAGCACCCTGGTTGAGAATTGCTGTCCTAAGAACAGAAACTAATTTCAGTTTTGACAACTGACATTTTCTTTCCTAAAGTTCTCATCTCTTTGCTCTGTTGTAAAACAGTGCTGTCACACACTGAGGTTGTGGTAGTTCATCTAAAACAGGTGAGACTCCCACTGAAGTTGAGGGGAAATTTTGCCCACATTCTGTAGGAACTGTGAGATAAGGATCAAAGCAAAGAAGTAAGGTCTGTCGCTGATTAGGGCTTGTTAACCTTTTCTTTTCATATGCTCTTTCGATATATATCTCAGAAAAGGAATGATTCATGCTGTGGATTTATATTATTCTTTGATATCTGTGGTGGTTTGTGAAAACTATTTATATCCAAAATATCACACTTTTCTAGCTTGATAGTACTCTAATCATAAGTAAGTAGTACATATTAATTGTATATTTTCATACCAAAAATGCATTATACAAAGCACTTGATATTACTCAAACTGAAGTACACACGAATCATTTTATTGACCTCAGTGGGTGTTTGAGTGGATGTAAACTGAGGAAGCCTCAAAGTAACAAAACCAAAACTATTCGACACTGAGGGTGCATCTGCAAGAGACATGTTAATGCACATTAGCCTAATTTAATGCACATTATGGGCACACATCTACACATACGAGCCCTTAATGCACATTAAACATGGCAAAACTAAGCTAATCGCACCTAAATTTGATACCTACACATGCAGGTTTCAAATTTAGGTGTGATTAGTTAAAGTGCATTAATGCACGGGGAGCCATAACCCGGCACTAACTTTAGTACTGGGCCTGCCCAGCCACTAGGGGCACATACCAGGGCTGCTGGGACTTGGCACTAACTTTCGTGGCAAGTCCCTGCATATGTAGACACCTGCCAAAGATCATTTAATGCACATTAAACTTAGTCGTGCTTATATGCACATGTAGACACACCCTGAAAGTAACAGTTGTTACTTTCCATGTGCTATTATTGTGCATAAATAAACTCCGGAGCTTATTGCTCCCAGCCGTGGCTTTTGAACGTATGCCTGGGAACAATAAACTCCAGAGCAGTAAGCTCCAGAGTTATTCATGCACAGCACACTGAGCCAGGTCAGAGCAGCCCGAGCTGGCAAGAGGCCCAGGGAGTCACCCTGCCAGCCCAGGGCTGCTCTGACCAGGCTGAGTGTGCTGCAGAGGGGCTGGCTGGGGCACGAGGATGCTTTAGTGTGGGTTAGTTGGCAGGCAGCCCCTGTACTGAAGCACCCTCATTCCCCAGCCAGCCAATGAAGCATCTACACTGCACTGCTGCAGTTTTTTTCTCTGCAACAGGATAGTACTTGTAAATTTACTCTGGCCTAATAGGGGTGCAAATGTAGACACCGAGATGTTAGTCACAGCTAATTAGCCAACTGCGCAGTAAACGCCCATTGATAACCTACAGAAGAAAACAGGGATTTTTAACTGAGATCAGTTAAAGCTATTTGTCCATGTGCATGCATGGTGACATCTTGATTTTAATGGCACGAGTGGATACAATTATACGTTATGAATGGAACCTAAGTTAGTTATATCCTTTACCTGCAAACAAATGCCAATGAATTGTTTATAACCCCCACATTTTGTTTCTGACACCTTTTGTACCTGTTCATTAATTTTGTCTTTTTTAACTGGTGCAGTATTTTTTTTTCAAAAGTCCCTCTGCCTAAGGTGAAGTCAGGTTACCGTAGTTACTGTCTACAAGATTCTGAGTGATAGAAAATAGAGACTGGGTTTTTAAAACTCTACAAATCATCAAAAATATTTTTCTTCACTTCAGAACATCATGATTTTAGGGTTCATTTCAGTTTGATGCCCTCTGCCTGAAATTCCAGCTCTGAGATGGGATTGAGATGTGTTTTGCTCCAGTGGCTTGCAAAATATCTGCTCTTAAAACTGATACTGGTGTACGGCTAAGTGTCAGTCCTGGCTTTCTGACTAAGGGAGATTTAAGGGAGAGTCCACATTTAGAGGGGCAAGGACTATGAGATTTTTTGCCATTTTTGTAAATAGCTATTTGAAAGCTGCTCTGATGTTTAGGTAATTAAAGTTGTCCTGTTGGAGATGAGGTAGGATAGCATAAGTGAAGCAAACAAAGGTACTAAAGCCAATTTATCACATACTTGCAGTTTTTTCATTTACCTATTGTTCCTGTGTATTTGATATAATGTATATGACCTGAGCAAGACAGAGTCTGTATTTCTTTGGTGTCATTTATATTGGTATATATATATATGGCTGGCTACGACCACCCTAATGGAAGCAGTCGCTTGAGTTCTTTTCGAGAATTAGAGAAGAAACAATTTACCCTCAGAAATGCCCATGAGAAAAGGCAACTCGTGTCCTGATGCTCCTCCATCTAACAATTTTGGGTGCCCTACTTTTGCATGGAGCTGCACTAATAGTCAGGCCGGCCCTGGTGTTATATGCTTATTTTTAATTATTTTGATTTTTGCTGATATTCTCAGCCTTTGTGATAAGTGGTAATGAATGTTTATTGAAGCCAGGCAGTTTGTAATCCATAGGATCAGCCTAATATACAGAGGTACAGGCAAAGTATTTCAAAACCTGTTAGCCTGGGGTTCTCTGTAAACATTTTTTTTGCACCTTGCTGTAAAAATAGTTAGTCGGCATAAGCTGTTTTGCTTCTTGGAACATTGTGAACATATTATCATCAAGACTATGAATAGAGATTCCTGCACTTCTGCTTTTCTTCCCTTTTCCTTTTCTTCCTAAATGGCTTCTGTCTGTTTGTTGGTTGGTCTGTCCTTTCCTTTAGGTACTTAGTTAAAATTGACTAAAGACTTTGAAGCCAAAAAAAAGTGTTTCCTCGACAGCATGCATAGACTTTTTAAAAACATCTCTCCCCCAATTAATGCTTTCCCTGCTCATTATGAAAAACAAGTGTTTTCATGACACCATTATTTAACAGTCAGTGCAATCTTTTGTTCCCCTCCTGGTATAATGAAAGACCTAATTAATTTGTGAGTTTTTTCATAGATGTGAGGCTTGAACAGATCATGTCGGTCTGTCTAGTTTGATCCCCTGTACACGCAGCCATAGAATTTTCCCCAGGAACTGGATTAAAGCAGGTATTTTCAAAAGACATCTCCCTTTTTAAAGACTCTGAGCAGTGGTTTGGGTTCAGTGTAAAGCAGGATGTCGGATGAATTAAAGGCAGCTCTTTGGAAGCTGACCCAGGCTCACCTCTCCACCTGCTGCAGTATTGTAGTGGGTTCCTGCTAACTGTGGTTAGAGATGAGGTTACAGCAGAGCAGTCGCTGCAACCCCCCGTTTCCTCGCGCCCGCAACTTTCTGAAGATTTCTCTTTGTGAATTTTTTTCCACGCCTGGGCTCAGCCCGGAGGCTGGTTATTTATTTATTTCGCTGGCGAGTTCGAGCAAAATGCTTTCAGCCATTTGAGTGCTGGAGCTAATAAATGTCTCCAGCCAGCCTTTTAGTGCCAGCTGGGTGGAGGGCGAGCGGAGGGCGCGTCTGGAGCCTGCGAGTTGCGTTCACCTTCTGGAGCAGGAGTGAATTGTAGCTCCCCCGAGCCAGGGCTTTGCTAGCGCCAGGCACCGCGCCCGATGGCTTCCTCGGGCTGAGCCGCGTGGAAAAGATGTGGCCCGGGAGCTGGGAAGGTGCCCGGCGCTCGCTGCCTTAAGGACCTGTTGGGAGGCGGAGGAGGGGAAGGGCATTCCCGGGACTTGTTGCTGAGCCGGGATGCGCCGGAGCCGGCTTTCACCTTGATGTTGCCCGGCCTGCAGGCTGGAGCCCAGCCGGGGCCGAGTGCAGCTCGGGTTGCCTTTTTTAATCAGGAACACAGAAGGGGCGGGCCCTGGGCGAGCGTGTAATCGGATAGCTCTGCCTCCGCTCTGACATCCACATGCTGCTCTGCCTGAAAAGGCTGCGAGGAGCCGGGAGGGAGGCAAAGGCAGGGAGGAAGGCGCCCAGCCCGCAGCCCCCGAACATCTTCCGAGAGGCAGCGCGGGAGGAGCTGGGGACGCAACTCGCGGCGCGGCTCCTGCAGCCCGACACGAG